ATGAGAAAGAATGAAGACAAAAGGAAATCCATGTATCCTAGGCCAAACATGAGGGTTTTTTTTAAGGATAATATTCACTTCTCTACAGCAGAATCTCATAAAGGGCATCAACTGAAAAATTAAGCCAGATAATTCTTTACTAGTGGACCTACGGTCTACATTGTGGAATGTTTACCTCCTACCTGTTAGTTGTTAACAGCAGTGTACCCCCAGTTATGACAAAATCTCCAGACATTGCTTTTGGGGCAAAACTGTACCCAACTGAGTGTCCCAGAGTGACACCCCATATATCCTTTTACTCAGGAGTGACCACTAAGAAATCTTAAGTCTCTGACTCTGGACAGCACAGATGCAATTGTGGCTTCTTATATTAATTTTCTACAAGGAAGTAAACTAAGTGGCATATGATTTAAGTTCCTTGCCAAGAAAAAAATGCAGGTGAGGCTTCAAAACGACCATGTACGATTGTACTTCTAGTTAACATGGTATGGGTGGGAAGACAGCAAAGAATCTAGAAATGAGTGGCTTCTTGTTTAGCAACACAGTGACAAGAGATTTTCTAACAAGATACCATCCCACTTTGACACTGTTTAAGTTAATATATCCTTTATTTCACCAAATCACCATACAAAATGAACACTGATACATATTTAGACACAAAAACACAAAATGTTAACAAATAGTAATTCAAAGACTTCAACAACTGCAATTCTGAAAATAGCTTGTTTTTAGTAAAATGCAGCTCACTTCCTTCCGCAGCTATTCCCTCAGTACCTGCTACTGAGAAAACAAATTCAGAACCCCATGGAGTTTACCTACAGCAAAAGGTTTGGGAGGTGCATTTGGGAGGGCACTATCACATGTACACACACATGCACGCGTGGATACATGCCTTTAATATTTAAGATTTGTGTACCTTAAAAAAAACTCTACTTGCTACTTTTTATATTTCACTATAATTACTTTAAATTTTCTGTAATTGTCTTTTCCATTCAAATTTTGAGTAGCCCCTAAAGAAGTAGCTAAATTAATTGTTAAGATAGTTCAGATAAACTGTGGAATGGAGTAATAAGTATCATGAGCCTTGGATTTCCCATCAGTAAAGTGGGCATAGTCAAACTTTACTCCTCAGAATTGCCGTGAAAACCAAAGTCCTATGTGGTGAATATCTGGGGAGCTAGAATACACTCCGTAAATGCTTACTATTACTATTAGTATAATTATAATTCATCAGTTTTTCTTTAACTCCTATTTCTTCCACAAACACTGTGGAAGAATGTGTGTTTTGAAAAGAACCACATTTTATGAACCTATCTTACATCTAGAAGCAAACACAAGGTAAACATTATTGATGATGTTAAAAAGAATAGTGCAAAAGAAAAAGTGGAAATATTTTAAGTAGACTTTGAAAGAAGTTCTGATGCCAATTACATCTGGTATCCAGCAGCTCATGATATGAAATGTTCCTTCCTGCTGCAAAAACAAAAACAAAAGGAAAAAAAGACAAAGGGAAGAAACGAAAGCAATAATATGATAGATTAAAAGATAAGGTTACATAGACATCTAATTCTACAAGACAATAAGTACTGTGTTACCTCTTCCAAGAACCATAGTAAATGTCCAAGAAGTTACAGTTTAGCGCCCACTGTTTATTTAAATGACAAAATTTCATTGAAAACAATTCCTGGCCCTCCTTGGTGGCTTAGCGGGTTAAAGAACAACACTGAGAAGCTAAAGCCACTTCCACATGAGTTCGATTCCCGCCTGCCCCGGAGGAGACCACATGGCGTGGCAGACCTCTCCTGACCCGCCCGCTGCTCCCCTCAGCAGTGCACTTCATCCATCTGCCTGTTCTGCTCCCACTCTGTCTCTGGTGAAGCCTCTCACCACCCCTGCACCTCTGGCCTGTACCCCAGTTCTGTATGCATAAATAAATAAATCTTTTTTAAAAAAAAAAAACAATTCCTCTCCCCACTAGCTGAATCTACTATTAGGTGAATTAAGATATTCAATTAAAAGCACTGCTAAACTACGTTGCTCTCTTCCTCTGAAATTATAATACCTTTTAGAAAGCTTCATTTATTCAGCAGCAGCTCTACTGAAGTGATGATTCAGAAGCATTAATAATAAATCCAAATGTCTGGATTTCCTAAGAAAATGTCAATTCCCTCTCCAGATACATCCAATAACCTCCTCCCCCCACAATTCCCTCCAAAAGAGAGCAAATATTCCTCAACTTTTAATCTCTGGAGTGCAGGATAGATGGCTGAAATGAAGTTAGTGGAAACACTACCATCTAGAGTCCCCCAAATAAATGCCATCAAGAAAACCCTGTTAACACTGAGCACACCCTATCCTCCACCCCTGCGCCCTCACCCCCAAATGCCCAGCAATACTAACAGCTCTGTAGCAAGACTTTCACAGTCCCAGACCTTGGTGATAGCTCCTGGAACTTCTGCCAGGAAACATGCATTCTACAGTCGTGACCCTTCCAGTAATTAAGGAAGACTTTGGGGTGCTAGTCCAATCTCTCATTGTACAGAAGAACCCCAGGCACGGAGTGAAGTTACTTTCTCCGTCTTTGTGATAGCAAAGCACATCCAGATCAAAGTTCCCATGCTAGTTACAAAGCACACACTCCTGGGGAGGGACTAAAGGGACGCGGCCACCAACCACCTCACCTCCAGTTCCCCGAACTGTCTGTGCCATCCTGAATATCTAAACGTCTGCGCCTCCATCTCCCTATGTGCAAACAGGGAACCAGAACCCTACAACCTCGGGCTGCCGGGAGGCGTGAAGGCGCCGGACACGTTCCGAGACGCCCACGGTGCCCGGCTCCAGTGCCCGGCACCCATCGGAGCCCGGCGCCCACCGGAGCCCGGCGCTCGCGGGACCCACCTGCACGTTGGGGAAGGCGGTCTTGAGCAGGTAGAACATCTTGCGGTTGGACAGCACGTCCCCGCTGGTCATCTTGTCGTCGGCACCCTCACGGGTCTTCCCTTTGGACTTCTCATGGAGCACGTTGCTCTCGCGGACACGCCTCACTTCGTCGCCGCCTCGAACCGCCGCCAACACCGACACCGCCAGCATCTCGCGCAGGTCCACGGTGCCCCCGTCGGCCACGACCGCCGGCCCCGGCGCGCCGCCACCCGGCTCTGCGCCAAGGCCGAAGAGGCTGAAGCGGCCGGCCATGAAGCCCGAGTAGAGGTGGTAAAGCACACCGAGTCCCAGCAGGCAGAACACGGCCACCCCCAGCGGGGACAGGCGGATGCCCATGGGAGCCATGGCGCGGGAGGCCAGGCGCTCGCGGCGGCGGCCCTCCGAGGCCTCCGCGCGC